ATACCACACTTATCTTTTTTAATTTGTATTTTAAGATATAAGTTATAATCATAAATGGTACACAGTTAAAAACATTTTATTTAGGCCTATCTATGGCCTTCAAAAAGTTGACGACTCTACATGTTTCGACGTTGCAACGTCATCCTCAGGAGGGGAAACATGTAGATTCGTTTCTTTTTGAAGGCCATAGATAGGCCTAAATAAAATGTTTTTAACTGTGTACCATTTATGATTATAACTTATATCTTAAAATACAAATTAAAAAAGATAAGTGTGGTATAAAATCTATCCTACAGATATCACTACCATTAAGTAATACAGTAACAACAACTAGCCCCCCAGTGGCACAGCGGCATGTTTGCGGACTTACAGCGATAGAATACGGGTTTCGATTATCGTGGTGGGCAGAGCACAGATAGCCCATTGTGTAGCTTTGTGCTTAATTACAAACAAACAAACAACAACTAAGATAAGAAAATAACATGTACAGTTATATACACAAATAGATTTTACGGGGTTAGAAGGGGGGAAGCAACATTCATCTTTAGAAAGAGGGTCGCCATAAAAACGTTTGGGTACCACTGTTTTATGCTTTGGTAGTATCATGCATACTTACATGTAAACATGATACAAGATGCTATAGGGTTTTTATCGTCTTGTATCAAAACTTTTGATCCTGCGTGTTTTTCTGACATAATAATAATATAAACATTATATTTATACATAAAAGCGATTAAGTTTTTCACAAGCTTATGATGTAATTATAAGTATCTGGGTTAATCCCAGGGTTATATATGAGCCTCATACTAGTCATATGACATCTAAAAGTTTTGAAACGGCTTGACTAGGTAATAAAAAAATTCTATTAGAAATATACAACGTTTGGACAAGATTTTGTCATCCTCAAGTCATATTACATCTGTTACCGGCTGTTTCAATTTCATTACAGGTCTTCCAGATCAGCAACTACGAACAAGTAGTATCGAATTTCATGCCTTTACATTTGCGTGTATTAGTGTTGTACTCTGGATTAGGTGACTCAAGTAAGTTTAATGTAACTTATAGTTATAAGTTCCATATGTTAAAATAAACAACAAGGATTGGTTAAAGATTGCCTTGTTGTGCAATTTTATTTATTATTATTAGTCTAATCCAAGCCCCGTGAACAGTTATCGAGTTTAGATAAAATCACGTTTTTCTGGCACTACAGACTATGTTGCTGATTAAAAGAAAAACAAAACTGTCTTATATTATTAATATTAAACCAAAGGCAGGAAAACCGAAAAGATACGAATAACAGTAGACCTAAAGGTAAGTCATTTTAACTTGTACTGTTGAAAGTTGTAGTGCCGTACAAATTACACTTCATAAGTGAGGCTTATATTTTGTAAGTAATGCTGATGTGTTTGTTACTCACTGTTCAGTTGTACACTGTTGTGTAAATTTTAACAGTTGGGTGTACTGTATTGTAATGCTATAAATGTAGTATTACGATATGAAGTAATACTAATTAGATAATAGGTTAGATGACAATTGACTGGAATTAGAATTTATCTGTATAAGTGTATTTCTATTACCATTACTTTGCAAGTGCCTGTGACAATGCTATAGTGTAATAATGGCTGGAGACGGCTTAAATGGGTAATGAAGAAAAACTTTAATATAAGTTTAACATAACAGCAAATGTACAACGTTTCGACAAGGTTTTGTCATCATCAGGTACATTTAAGCCGTCTCCAGCCATTATTAATCTCAAAGTGGGTTCCTCGTCATCGAAAATGCTATAGTGTCATGGGATTATAATATAATTTTATATTGGATTAGTGAAATATATTTTTTATGTTAGCTGACCAAATCTTTTTCATTCCATAAGAAATTTCATATTTAATTTATTCTTATTAGGTGCATGTCTGTTTAACTATAGTATAGGCTAGCACAGACAGCTGAAACTAAGCAAAAGGGTTGTTTAAATTCAGTTCTGTATAACTTACTCTAATGAGTTATTTTTAGGTTTTATGTTAAAAAATACCCATAACAACACATAATTTTATCATGTTAATTTGGTTACCATTGCCTTCCCATCTTATGGTATTTAACACTGCACCACTAAAATACAGTAGTTTTTGCATAATAAAGGTTAAGTTTAAAGGCTGTTGTTTCTTAAAATAAACATTGCTTTACTTTAGAAGTGGCCATATGAAAATATAAGCTTTTTTTAAGTTATAATAGTACAGCTGAGAAAACAATTATGTAAAAAACAACTGTCACTATTTGAGAAAATTTGTGTCTTATTTTATTCTTCATATGAGTTGATTTTATGACATGAACATGAATTGTATGTTAAATTGTAAAGGCTTTAAATAGTAAATAGATACACGTATTACATTACTTATTAGCATTGTGTACCTACGTTCGTTCTGCTTGCAACAAAATCAGCAGGGATAAATTTAGCCGTTCATAACTACACACTTATCATGAAAGTTTCAATAAATTCTAACAGTAAAACAATTCACAAGCTTTATGATTCAAATTGAAAAACAACAGCTTAAGAACAAGTCAACATCTAAGTTTACAGAACTGATGTGATTTACCACAATTTTTCTCAACCACCAGTCAGCAGACCAGTGCTAGTCATCCACAGCCACCTTGCCTTTGGGATTTTCAAAAAAACTGAAAGAATATTCGTCTGTAAATTGTAATTATTTTTTATTGTACTTGCCTTTTAGTGGTTTGCATCAATTTGGGGAGGCAGCGAGCTGGTTTCTAGTGTCAAAACAGTTGAGAAACAGTAGTCTAACAGAACCTTCAATGTTTTGAATCTCTGTGAAAATGTAGTAGATGTCCCATATTCTGTCAACAAATTACTGGTACAATAATTCTTAAACCTAACTACAATAAAATGTGTAACAGGAATAAAGCAGGAAATTTCTAATAATTGTAGCAGTAGAAATGCCAAATAATTGTGTGTGAGATAAAGTTTTCAATATATTAAAGAATTTTCAACTAAACATTATTTTTTAAAGATGTAGCAAAAATTAAAATATTTAGTAATCTTATGAAATGCATAATCTGCTGACAGAGTGGAAGGATGTGCCACACATTCACATCAGGAGTGTAAGAAGTGAGGTATAGTTTCATAGACTGAAAGGTCTAATCGTCACAAAGCTTATACATTGTATAAATTATCACATATGTCTGTTTACTACAACTTCCAATCAAACCATGCTGCTATTCAAACAGACTGCCACTTTGTAGTTTGTCTATACTCCTAATTTTAGTTAAAGAACTGCAGTTCCTCAACACTCCAGTGAAACTAAATCCAAGCCTCTTTTCATAGTTTAAATTTTTTATATCCTGAGACATGTATAAATTTCCTATTCCTTCTTTTAGTCCTATTACGTGAATGATATTTGGTGATATGACACTACCTAAAGTGGTAGACACATCAGCAGACACCACATCTTCCCTAAAGTGGTACAAACAACAGCAGAATTTTATGTTCATGAAATATATGTAACAAAACGTTTTTCTGATTTTGGACTGTTACTTACCATTAAAATATTTTTCTTGCTCAGTGCATTATTAGTAATGCCCTGTTTTTCTTGGATTTCGTGTCACCATCTCTTCTATAATATTGTTACGTCTCTGTATGTTTGTTAGTTAATTTTTCTGCGATACAAGTCCCTTCTTAAATAAAACTTGTTTATTCTTCCTCAATACAACTTTGCAATAAACTTAATTTTCACAGTTACACACACTATAGTTCACAACAATTCACTCACTTTCTACCGCGCTTGACTCAATTGTCCGTCTCCGCCTGTCAGCATCTATAGTTTCGATCTCTGTATCTGCTGTCCTCGGTTCCCGCCGACCGTAACTGCTGTCCTTGGTTCCCCACTCTCTCTCTTTCTCTGCCCCTCTTTTTCTGTCTAGCACACTTACATACGATAATACCGCCTCTTCTAGAATCTTCTAGGCTCTCAATACGTGCTACCAGCATCACTTGACTTCCACTGTCGTAACACACTAGCGTTTATAGCGAATCTTCTAGAATACTCGTCACGTGACCCCCGCTGTCGTAACAATATGACCAAAATATATGATGGTATTGTAAAAAGCTTGACCAGAGTTATATGCACAAAGAAACAGTAATGTTCTTTCTCATAACTTTTTAATTTCTCTATTAAGAAACCCAAGAAATATATTTAGCACTTTCATCTATAACTTTTCAGAAGTTTGATAAATCTTTTTTACTTTATTTTTTTTTCTAGAAGGGCTTGCAAGAAGAACATGTTATGTTTACAAGCCATGAGCTGAAAGCATTTAAGAAAAGTGATATTTCTAAGGTTGCCAAAAAATTGGATAGTGTTTGGCTAGTATTTCCTTAAAGAATGAGAAAAAGCTGCTTACCTTGTATTTTCTGTTTACTGCTAGATGGAGCTACTTGCATCGAGAGGCAAATGGGTTATGCTGCCAGCCGAAATAAGCTTAATATTGTGGGAGACTTTTAATTATAGTGCAATTGTTTAGATTAATCTGTCTTAATCATAACATAACCTATGGACAACAAGGGACCCTGCACACCTTAGGGAAAATTTTAATTTTAAATCCATTTTCTCCTTATAAATAAATCATTGATATTAATCTTAAACCCTGTAAAGTTCTGGCCCTAGCAAGTCTAAACTTCCTCAATATCGGAGAAGGATCTCTTCTAAAAGTGCTAAAACTTTATTAATAATATATATCCCTCTTTAGCTGACTAATAAGAAAATTGAGCACTGTGATGCAGAAATATCTGTGCTCCATGTGACAGTTGCAAGGTATCCCATAAGGACACAATGCAACTATCCCCTGAAGCGGTAGATAAGTACCTGTTGTAAAAAGTAATACCTTGGGCTGAATTTTGCACATTATCTCAACTGGATTTAGTGTTCTAAAATTAGAACTTAGAAAAAAGATAAAATCTGTGTGTAGATATGTAATATATACTCTAGCTTGTGCTCAAGCCAACAGTAATTTAAACCTAATACCACTTGAGAAGTTACAACATTATCCAGAGAAATCACATGAGAATCACAACCTTTGTTTAGAGTGAATGTGAACATTTTGGAACTGCACAGCATGGTAATGCACAATAAGAATCACATGTACGTGAAACTGGCAGTTATGATGAATGTCCTCAACTAATACACATTGCTAAATAAACAGCACATAACAAAGCAAAAATAAAAACCCTTTAAAAGAAACAAAAAACAAGATTAAATATGTAACAGAAAATAAGCCTTTAAACACAAAGATACACTATAAATGACATATATATCAGGATATGTATGAAAAAAGTTGGGGAACATACAACAAAGATTAATGCTTGAAAGATGGGGCAACACTTATCTGTTGGCTATTTGAACTATTAAAACATATTAATAAGAAAAATAACAAAACAGGAAATTACTAAATAAACCAAAATTGAACTACAAACAAAAATGAAATTATACTTATCAGCATGGTGGGGGAAAAACATAAAATAAAAGAGGACAACAAAATTTGTATCAGTTACAGAAAAAAAAAATGGTACCTTTTTAAAAGTAAATGTAAATAACAAATCCTTAAAACAAGTCCCAAGATGAAACCCATTTTTAATTAAAATTTAAAAAAAAATGGCAGAGCATTAAAAATTAAACATAGGAAAACACTTTAAGCAAAGCATTAATACAGAAATGAAATAATTTATTATGTAATTATAACACATCAGATAAAACTTTTTAAAGTGCATATGAATTAAACTAATTTCAAAATATGCCTATCAATCAATACTCTTTTAAAATAAGTGTTATGAGGCAAAACATGAAGATGGGTATAAGTCTGTAGTCTTACCTTGATGCAAGGTCTGGACGTTCCTTGATCCCACGTATGGTAAATGGCATGTGAGACATTTAACTGAAATACATAGTGGTCAGATGAAGACTGACCATTATTCTAGTAGAAGTTGAAAAACACAGAAAGCACTTACATCAGAGACTGGTCAACTTACCTAGATACAGGTTTAGGTGTCAGAATAACATAATGATTGGTGAAATCTACATTCCAACTCCATTTTGAAGTTTTCCACACTATAAATGTATAGCTGAACATACAGCCTTCTGTACCACTCTCAACACAACTGTACCACCTGTATGTATGTCAACATACAGTTGTTGAATGCTGCTCTCCCAGCATGCTAATTACCTGTTTATCAGATATCATGAGAATAACAACTGACATGGCAACACCTGAGTGCTAGAATAAATTAAAATTAAAGTACAGTTGCAGCTCTGCAACTATAAGGCTACAGTTGAATTGCTGCAGTATAAGTGTTGTAAAAAATACTGCAAATGGGTTCTAGTATCACCTATATTATCACTTGGCTACAAGAGTCAATGACCCTTAGTGCACAGTAGTGACCAGCACTCAAGTTGGCTTAATTGCTTTAATATGTATGTGTAATAAAAAGGAAAATTCAGAGCCTTTAAAGTTAAACTCTGCACCTTTTGCCACACAGCAGAAGAGAATAGCAATTTTCGTATATGGAATTACTTTTGAATTTCCAAACATTCACAGAACTTTAATGAAAAAGAGAATTTTTCTAAACCTTATATGCTTCTCATTGCTGTACACTGCAACTGCCGAAGTCAGCTTCCGAGGCAGACTTTGTTCCACACGGGAAATATAAACAGTAAAGTTTTGACCTCTTCTAACAAAAAATAAAAATTCTGTTTCAATTCATTAGCATTTTTTTTCTCTCGGTTAGCCATTTTATTGAATTAGGTGCTTAATATGTTTACTGTGATTTTATGATTTTATAATGTGGGTTAGTAGAAACTTTAATACAGTGGTGAACAGTTACTATGTTAAGTGTTTTTCGTTGCCAGACTTAAAAAATTGAATTATTTACTACACCATATTGCCATCTATTAATATACATGTACAACATTACCAACAAAATAAATGTATGAAATATAGCACACTAGAAAGTTTTGAGAGAATAAAAAACTAAATAAATAAATGCCATTATTCTCTTCTTTTTAATGAAGGATCATAGTTAGTTCATAATGTAACTATGGACAACAGGAACAATATATTGTTCTCTCTCACTTTTTTCTCTTTTTCACTACATATGTATTACACATTTTCACATGTGCACTTATTCTTTCGGGATATTCACACTTCATCTTCACTGCTTATGCAAGACCATTTTACTGTATGCAGACTTGTTTTCAACCAACTTGCATATTTTGTAATCACTGTACGTACATATGATTCACGGACAGCAAGAGACCTGTTGAGCCATCTAGGCTGTCCCATCCATATACTAAAGTCTAAAATGAAAATAAACACTCATAATCAGCTCTTATCATTCAAAGATTTGTCAGGTCTTCCCTTAGACTTCCTTGAATTAACTGTATCTATCACATCTGAAGGCAACCATTCCAGAGGCAAACCACCCTGTTAAAAAAATAAAGCTTTCTTAGTTCACACATACCATGCTAAAATTTATATTTGTGTCTCTTAGTATTACTATTGATGCATCAACACTATTAGTTCCCATTAACAACCTTAAACACCTCAATCAGATCCATTCTAACTCTTATCTTATAACAACCTTTCCATCCCAAGTATTATCCTAGTAACCTTCTTCTGAACCATCTTGGTAACCTTCTTCTGAACCATCTTGGTAACCTTCTTCTGAACCATCCTAGTAACCTTCTTCTGAACCATCTTGGTAACCTTCCTCTGAACCATTTCCAAGAATTCCATGTCTTTTCTAAGGCAAGGAGCCCAAGACTGACTACAGTACTCGAGTTATAGCCTAACTAATGGCCTATACAATGAAATTATAAGTCCACAAGACTTGTATTCAATATTTATGTTGATACAACCTTAAACCAGGGGTGAAATTCTGGCAGTACTCACTGGTAATGATTTATTTTTTATGGCGGTACTTATACCAGGACTTATTTGAGCTACTTTGTGGTTTGTACATTTACACATAGATATTTTTTCTTTTTCAAAAATAGGTCCACGTCACCCAGCTGAGTACTTCTACTTTTTTTTTGAGAATTTCACCCCTGCTTAAAACCCTATTTTCCCTGCCACTAACAACAGTACATTGCTTGGATAGCTTAAGAGACTGGTGAACCAGAACACAAAGATCCTATAACATTGTTAAGATTAGTCTCATCAAAATTATACTCATAATTCAAACTGTAATATCCCTCATGCAATACCTTGCATTTATTATAATTAAAACCCATCTTCCATTTATTCACCCAACTCATTAAATGATCTAAATCCTTTTGTAATGCAGCAGCATCCTCCGTACAGCCAGCAACACCCAAGACATTAATATCATCAGCAGATTAAAGTAACTTATTGATCATTCCATCATCTATGTCAATGATGTAGATCAAAAACGAGCAACTGTTCAAAGACTGAGCAATCAGTTTCCTATTTTTATCACACTCTGTTGCTCTAAAATGCCTAGACAAGTCTGATGGTTTGAGTTGGATTTGATGATCAGCAAGAAAGATAAGGTTAGAAAGAGAAATTGAATTGCTGTTGATAACATATTGATTTGAAATTTACAAGAACATTTGCATATTGAATAAACAGTCAATTAGTGATCTTTCTTATAATTCTATTATTTATCTTGTGAATTTACCTTATAGTGACCTGTGTTATAATGGAAATTATATTTGTTAAAATAACTTTTAATATTGAAATTTTTATTTTTGCCACAGCGAGCAAAAGAATGACGTATGTGTGTCTACGAAGAATATTTTTAGAAGGAATGAGTAATCATTCCAAAACTGTTAAGTTCAGTGGACCACAAAGATGGCTGAATAATACAAACAATAGCAACACAAAAACAATAGCCACAAAGAAGAGAACTGTGTTGTGGAAGTTTTTCAAGCTTATCACTGGTGGTACCATTGTTATTGGAACTCCTACCTGTTACGTAACTCTTGACTCTAAACAAAAACAAACAATTAGAATTAATTTAGAAGGAGCTGGAAGGTTTTTGAGGTAAGCATTTCAAACATGTACATTGTGGTAAAGTATCTTTGTTATCATTTTGATTTAATTTTAATTGTAAGATGCCAGTCAGTATTATATAAGTCATGCTTTTTCCCATTTGCTGTTGATGGTACCTTTGTTTCAACCATTAACAATATTGAGATAATCACATCTGAACCAGAATGCCTCATTGTAACTTTTTTATGTTTTCTAAACATACCATATTTTTTCATTTTAAGGTTCACTTCTCTGAATTGCATAAATAAAGTTTAAGATTTATCTCGTGAATGAAGGTGCATTTATACTAAATCAGTGCACACACTGTCATGTAACAATAAAAATATACTCAAATTACAGTACAAGGCATATGAATCAAGTAAATATTTTATATAATTAGTTGAGAAACTGAAATAAATCACAGTGTAATAATATGAATTAGTATAATATATAAGTGAAAAATCTGAAAGAAAAATAACTTGTAATTTTGTACACTTGAGATTACTTTAAGTTTTAGTCCACTTTTTCCACATGGTTTTCTTACCAATTTATATATAGGTACATAATTTACAAATACTCACTGGCTTAATTGATTTAATCTTAAAACAGCTGAAACTATCTTGCATTTTATACTTACTGGTTATAAATTTGTGTAACGTACATATGTTTGTGTAGCAATATTACAATTGGTTACATATGTAGTGTTTTGTGTGTGTGCCAGTTTACGTGATAGCATGAGAAACTGAGAGGAAATGGTTCACATAATAATATTAGCAGCTACAGTTAAAATAATCTTTGTGCTGTTTTATTTAATCCTAAACAAAATATAATCGCAGGTGTTATCAGTGTTATGGGTTTTAAAAATGTAACTACTTATGGGTGGGTGTACAGTTCATACTTTCGTTAACCCTTTCACTAAGTAATTAATTTTCAAGCTGATTCCCAAAAAGTGTCAATGATCCACCAAAAAATAAAAGTATAAATTTGACCCTTTGTATTACTTTTTCAGTATTGAAGGAAGCTGTATTTTCTTTATCTGAAAACAATATTGTATAGTTAAAAATAATGACTCTTTAGGAAATTATTTTAGTTTAACATGTTGGCTGCCACTTAAGTAATTCTTCAGTTAATTATTTTACTTTAACATGTTGGCTGCCACTTAAGGTAATTCTTCAGGAAATTATTTTACCTTAACATGTTGGATGTCCCATAAGTAATTCTTCAGGAAATTATTTTACTTTAACATGTTGGCTGCCACTTAAGTAATTCTTCAGTTAATTATTTTACTTTAACATGTTGGCTGCCACTTAAGTAATTCTTCAGGTTAATTATTTTACTTTAACATGTTGGCTGCCACTTAAGTAATTCTTCAGGAAATTATTTTACTTTAACATGTTGGCTGCCACTTAAGTAATTCTTCAGGAAATTATTTTACCTTAACATGTTGGCTGCCACTTAAGTAATTCTTCAGGAAATTATTTTACTTTAACATGTTGGCTGCCACTTAAGTAATTCTTCAGGAAATTATTTTACTTTAACATGTTGGCTGCCACTTAAGTAATTCTTCAGGAAATTATTTTAGTTTAACATGTTGGCTGCCCCCTAAGTAATTCTTCAGGAAATTATTTTACTTTAACATGTTGGCTGCCACATAAGTAATTCTTCAGTTAATTATTTTACCTTAACATGTTGGCTGCCACATAATAATTTAAGTATAAATAAAATTAAACATTCAAAAGATGGCAAGGAGCAGTGATAGTGTTCCAAACTCATATGCCACAAGAGAAATTTGGCTTTGAAATATAATTTCTGTGACCCACCAGTGTGTCACGTGGTCCATAAATATAAGTTGCTTGTGACCCACTGGTGGGGCACATGGCACCCAACATGTTAAGTAATGTTTTTTGTGGTGTAATTTTTGTTATTACAGTTATATGATGTTTTCAAAATATATGTTGCTTAGAATACCTGTTTAAGACAAACATTCTAATTTGGCTGAAATTAAAGGCTCAAATTTTATTTATTCATTGTATGAATATGTCTTATACTTTGGAATAAATTGTAAACTAAATTGATTCTATTATTTTCATGTACATCTTGTACAGTATTTGTGTGAATTATAGTTTATTTATTCATTAATGTATTACATATTTTGCCTGTTATTTTTATGTTTCCAATCTTTGTGATGGAAAGTCATGTTTTGTGACTTACTGTTATTTATTTTTAGGTCACTACATATTGGCCTGAAAATATCACTGGACTATTGGTGGAATCTTTATGGACTTGAGGAGGTTTGTTCATTATATAGAAATGTTTATCAGAGTATACTTCTGAGTGATAGTTTTTTAGATTAGACAGTTATGTAGTTAATAGGCAAATTGTACGAGTACCACAGATAGTTTAGTGCTGTATTCACTTTTTCTGTGACCATTGACCCCTGAGAGAGAAGTAAGGTAATTGTTGATAATGTACGTAAACTATCAGAGACCTGCAAAACATTTGCAGTCGAATTAGTATATTTACTGCAACGATACTTCTTTAACTATACGATTTCTATAATAATGCAAAAGAATTATAATCACAGACACTGAAATCTATAAGTCCACTTGTCTTAGGCCTAACATTAGTTAAACATTTATTAAGTATGGCCTATGTACGTGTCACTGTGGAATACTAGGTTTTATAATTCATTTTTGCCAATTTTTAGGTACAGGTGTATATGCAAGATGTACCTGTCTGATATACTGCGCCAAAATATGTAATATCACTGTTTTATGCAAGCACACACACTTATCTCCAAATAAAAGAAATAGGTACATATTTTTATTCATTTTATGCTTCACTGGAAACATATTGTTACAACAGCGGAAGTCACGTTACACTAGTAACACATCATGAGATTCTCGAAGGATCTTGACTTTTCCTGGCAACTAGTCTTCTCGGCGCCCTCTTTTATTGTATATAAGCTGGCAAATAAAGCGGAGAAATAATGGCAGATAGACAGATATAGAGACAATAATTGACTGAAGCGAGCGGTAGTGACCGTAAGTAAAGTGCGTTAATCGTTATGAATTATAGCATGCGTTTCAGTTAAAGTGACTGTGGAAATTCTGTGTATTGCAAAGTTGTATTGAGAAAGAATAAATTAGTTTTATTTAAGAAAGGACTTGTATTGCTGAAGTTCCTCGGGAAGAATTTATACCAGAAATTAACAAACGACCAGAGACGTAACAGTATGAAATAGAATTTCCATGATGATGGTTTTGTTAATCTTTCTACTTCTCACACACACATACAGAAGTCTTTATTATATCATAAGTATGGGGTGTATGTAATGTGGTTAATTTATAATTTGTGTTATTTAAACTTACAATTTCAAAATAAAGAATCGAGATTACAGACAGTTGATTATATATTGATGCATAACCCTTTCTGAGCTTAAGGAGTGTCACTGATATTCCTTGATATTTTCTTTCTTTCATGGAAATACTTGAACAAATTGTATGAAACTTAGAAGAAAACAAGGAGTATCTAGTTTTGGCTTAAAAATTAAAATAATTTGATTTAGCTTTTATAATTTTTTCTTATATCTTTGAAAAACATTACAATTTTTTTATTGATTTCAGAATTAAATTCTTTTTCATATCTTCAATCACTTTCAACTTGTATGATCTTCATTGGCATATTTCTTTTGATACTCTATTTTAGAAATTGCAGTAGTCACTGCTTCTGGCTCTAAATCATAAAAATCACTGCAAAAACAGACAAATATTTATCATTGACCTGAGACCTGACAGTTTAAAATGGCATCAGGTCAGGCTAGTTCACAGTGTTTTTGCTTACGGTATTCTTATTCAAGATCTATTTGTATCTAAGAAATATAGTTTATTTTCAATAACTTGTAAGTTATTTTACTTATGTGCATTGCTTAAATGTTATAAACTTTATAACAGTGCTATTCAATAAAGAAGATCAGAGTCATCAGGATACTTGACATTGTCTACTGTGAAGCCTAACTAGGTTTACCTGAGGAACTTATCATAGAATAAAATTTCTTTTGGCTTTTAAACAATTATAGTTTAACACAAACACGTATATAGTAAAATGAATAGAAATGTAAAGAAACTAAGTCTTCTAGGTCTCGTCAGTTTTCAATTATGGTAGGAAAGCAGAGTTTATACGTTATATTGTGATGCTTGTGCAATGAGTTGCACGGAAGGTGGTGAAATATTGATAAGTCGAGGTATGCTACATGTTGTGTCAATGACATTCAGAAGTATGTTAGGTGGTTATTGACAGCATTAAAGCAACTCAACAAGAAAAGGCTTAACTTAAGTATCTTAGAAGTAATCCTACCTAACTTAAAAACACACATCGATTTTTTTAGTTGTCTACCCATCCCAAAGCGTAGGTTTATATTTGCATAGAAACTACCACCCAAAGAGAATATAATTTTATTCCTCATGGGATTTTCATTGTCTTTCACCGATTTCATGAATACAGCCTTTCATTATCACAAACTTTAAATACTATTGAACAGAGCAGATTATAAACTACTTACGTCATTGTAAGGTGAATAAAATCACAGAGATTGAGATTTTTTTTGTTTACAGTCATGCTTTTAACTTGCTCACTATGAATTATGATACCAATTGTAGTATATGTTTCTATGGCAGCTTTCCTTGAATAATCCATCTCTTATATCATCTATTTAAAGAAAATCCCATTCCTTTACTGTTTTGTAGACATTTCTATTCCAATCTCAAACATCTATCTTCTACATCACTGTTCATTGTCTGCGGATTCATGGTTGGTTGTCATGCAGTCTTTTGTTGTCGAAGCTGGATTTGCATCTCAAGTAGCTCAAATGCTATCACGTACTTACCAATGTTCATCCCTGCAACTTTTGATTTCTCTTCATCTCTGACTCTGTTCTTATCATATCTATTTTTGAGCTTGTCATGTGCCACATGTTATGAATGTTCTTGAATATTTTGTTTAAGAGATTATTAGCTTCTCCCTGCAGAATGGACCTTCCATTCAACAGTTCTTCAGTAATTGTGCCAAAGACTTAGTCATCCTCTGATTGATGCCTTTGTAATGGCAGACATCCATCTACATCCACTTTACTTGTCTCCATTTCTATTTCTAGATCCTGCTTCTTTAGAAATGGGTTCTTTGAGCCAGTCTTGGGAGAATCTTCTTTTTGATTCTTAATAGAATTGGCCAATTAACAATCAATACAATCATTTACCTATGAGCATTGATTACATTGATTAATGTCACAAAAATAGTCAATTAATCACAATTAGTGTATCTGATTATAACTTTTTCAATTATTCCAACTATACATGTAATCAAAGTATTGAGGTCCTATTATGATTTCTTATTGTTATTTTCAATTAATTGAAGTTTGTTTAGCTTAATCTATTGGTGTCATGATTCATGAAAATAGTCGTCCCATTGTCATTTTGTTGATTCAAAATAATAAATTTTTGGCTCACCTGATGCAGGAATATTGTTGTATACAAAATACCGATTATTTTTACACCTATGATAATCATATTCTTCTCTACGTCTAACCACTGAAGTGGCACATGCTATTAAGTCTATTGTACAATAAAGACACACCTAAAGTATTCCAGAATTAAGCATACATAGCTTAACCTGTACTTAGTGGTAATCTCACTAGTAGGTTTAGTACTTTTCTGATTTATAATCAATGCTTTGAAGTAATATTTATTTGCATCAACAAAAATTCAGTAGTGTTAGTAATCTTATGAAACTCATGGAATGCTATTAATCTTTAAAAGAACCCAATAGAAGCTGAGAATAGAAAGATTAGTTTCATGTGCGATCATTTGATTAGTTGACTGTAATCAATTAGCAAATTCCACTAATTCTTTCTTTTCGTTTTCTCGAACTCTTGAACAGATTGCCTCATGCTTCTTGCTCTTATTTCATGATTTTGGCTTACCTTCTTCTATTGCAGGCTACAGAGCTGTTCTCTCTTCAACCTCTAAATGCCACAGAAGCAGTCTCTTTCTCTTGTCCACACCTTTTACTGATTTTACGTTGTCCCAGAATCCCTTGGCACTGCCTTCAATGATACTTAGGTCTTATCATATGATCTTGCTTCTTCTCATTTTGAACCTTCAGCAACTTTCTAACTCTTTCATCTTCCACTGAAAATGTAGATGAACTTTATACATCTTTAGCATCCCGCTTAGACTTAAGTATATTTTCCTGTATTTCTTGGCTTTAGTTGCCTTTTGTGATAGTTCTTAGTCCTGCTGAAAGTTTTTTCTTCAAGACAAGTTTTCATCTTTACTGTGGTTTTCCTCTTTTTGGTGATGGTCAAGTTGGGAATACCTCTTACTATTATGAATCATATCAACAAAAACAAGTACTGACGTGAAATTGTTTCATTTAGAACCCACTGAAGTATTCAAGTAACTTGTGTGTCATGGCAACAGTGCAATATCGTATCAGTTTCTTTTATTGATTACACTTCTTCTAGTGAATTTAATAGGTATCCCATATACTTCTGTCCCACAAAAGACAGTTCTAACAAATCAACACTATATATTCCATGTATCAAATTCGATTAGTGTTACTCCACAAATGTTCCTTTTCATGTATGATCAGATGGATGACACCGTTTTTTCACTTTGTTCTCTCTCCTTTTTTTCTTTGTCAATGTTGGACGTTCTTAATTTGTATCTGCTCATCTAGAAGAAGAAGAATTTACTTAGAATCTTCATTTTTTAAGATTAAAATAGAAATTCAATACTTACCTACCTTGGATAAGCACATTTCCGCCTCACCCCTACATCTGTATTGTTTCCGTAAGAATTGTGTTTGAAGCCCAAACATTGAGGAGAACATTCTTCTGTGTATGCCACTTAGGTATGTTTAACTTTAATATTGAAGGCAACTTGTCTCATAAATGTTATGAAAACAAGAGTTTAGGAGACGTTTTACAATGTCAAATGAGAAAGTTATGAGCAATTAAGGTGAATGATGATGTGGTGTTGAAGTAAAAGTTAGTTATTAGTCCAAAGGTAACTGTTTGAATAAAAAAAAATATTGATTATATTATTTTCAAACTGTAAAAAAAAGATTATTATTATTCCAGGGATATTAGCCATCCCTACATTTACTTCCTTTTTTGAATGTATGCACAAAAACAATTAAATGAATTTTGTTTTGAACAATTGCACTTGTAGCAGTAAACGAGTTCCGAGAAATTCTAAGTCTATGAATAAAAAAGTAACATTAAAGGCTAAAACATTTTAAGAAGTTTTTGTTCATTTGGCAGTTCTGAGGCACACTTTTGAAATGAATGTAATTAATGGTACTTTTTAAATTAACAATTTAAAAGTTATAATGAGAATGTTTTAGTAGAATGCATGTTTTTGTATATGATATGTTTTTAATTATATAATTTGTTATTGTCAGAAAAAGCAATCCTGAATTGTGTATCTGTCAATTAAAGTGAACAAATCAATAATTTATTGGTAAAATGAATACCAATTTTTACTTGTTTCAAGTCAAATAAAAAAAAAACGTACTTTCTGTTGATTTTTTACGACCCTAAAAAAGCATTTAAGTAAAGTAAATTGACAAAGATTAGAATGTGATGTTTTTCACTAGAACTCAAAAGAATATGAGCAAATGATAAAGCCATGCCACCAGAGAGCAGCAGAAAACATATTACAAGGTTGTCTGAAGAATGGAGGTTTGTATGTGAAGTTAGGTCAGGGTCTTGTTGCCTTGAATCATATTCTGCCTCAAGAATACGTTGATACCCTCTCTGTTCTTCATGACAAAGCTTTGACCCGGAGAAACAATGAGGTAAGTTTGTGCAAAACATAACATCTAAATATAATCATATAGTGAAAGAAAAATGAAGTACAGTTACAACTTGCAGGGTAATAAAATACATTATTACATACATTATTTCTATTTGTTTGCACTGTAAACGAAATAAGTTGCTTGACAATTTTTAATGTAATATTCATCATTTCAAAATAGAATCCAAGAGTTTTTAAGCCCAGGAGGAAACAAATTATTTGAAATAATATTTTGCAAATGTATATAAAATTGTGAGTCAGAGTTTGGTAAGCTGGCCAATGATAGCACATCAAGTAAATATATATATATATATATATATATATATATTTTTTTTTGGAAGTGCTGTAGAAATAGCTTAAAAGTGATTATAAACTTATTAATTATAATAAGTTAATTATGAAATATCTTTGATTAAGAAATGTTTAGAGAAAAGCAGTAAAGTAAATACTGTATTACAATTTAATAAAATATTGTTTTTACTGAGAGTTAACCAATCAAAATACACTTTTATGAAAGAACATTTTATTGAAAGCCTTAGAATTGATTTTGGTTGCTCTAAATGTATATTGTTATACAGTAGTTGTTATATCGAGTGATATGTGGTCCAAAATGCAGGCTGATTCAACAGTTTTTGAGATTTGTTGGAATATTGCAGGTTTTCTGTATAATGATCTGTAATCTTAAAAAAATGCTTGAAACTACAAGACCTTTACTTTAAAGTCTTGAACGTTATGTTCCCCAGCGGTGTATTTGTACTCGTACGATATAGGAATGTAAACAGACATTTGCGAGAAAGAATCAATTGTTACTTTTATATATGAAAATCCTTTAACATTCATTAGCATTGCACAATTTGCATTAGTCCGCTTCGTGGGGAATAATATATCCTCATAAAATTCCAAACTTTTCAAGACTGAAAACATGGAAGCCGTTTTCATTAACATACGTATTTCTTGAATTTTTTGAAACTGAAAAACAATTTTTTCATGGTATATAGTTTTAAAAAATCTTAATTGGCCTTGAAACTACTTCCATTTCACAAGTTCAAGACATACGATGAACAGCAAGTTTTATAGTTTCAAGTTTTAAATTAAAATATTAAATAAGGACATTTATGAACTTAGTCTGAAATCATTCAGATCAGTTAATGAGTATCTGAATGGTAGTATAAACTCTTAATCTCAGTGAAGCCATTATAATGAAAAGTTGGCCTTAGGGAAATTTTTAGGTTTATGTATTTTTTTTTTAAATTATTAAAAGTTTTTACTCTTTGTGAAAGATTCTTTAATCAAGCAGATAATAAATGCTTGCAAATTACTCACTGCAAATATAAGAAACTGTTAAACTTTTTTCAAACTACAGACATAAAGTTTACTGCTGATGGTGCAGTTTTGTGAATCAAAGAACAAGTAGTGACTAAAGTGGTACAAGTCACTACTGTGAGAGCAAAGTTTGATTTGTGGGTTGCAAAAACCTCACGTACTGTAGGTTTTGTACAAAATTTCATTTTTCTTTTTGGAATTTTATCTTACTTCCTTGGTTTTGCATGTTCAACAATTTTTGTAATGAAACATTGCAATTTTATAAGTATTGTTATTCAACTTCAACACAAATGCTGAAGTTGATTATGAAACAACGATGGACTAGTTATTGATATTTACAAGTTTCCAACTGAATTCTTACTATTGTAGATACTTGTCAGGGTTAATGTGTTTGTGTTGAACTTTCATACAAAAAGACTATCTGGTATTAAGCTTACAAGAGATTAGAATAATGGTAAAATTCTCACAAGATTTTTTTATAATGTTTAATTTTTCATTAGGTGCTTAACTGTTGTTAAAAACATATAATAAAAATATTGTTATTGCAGATCATAGTATAAAATTTATTATTGTTGAAATTAAGAAACATATTAATAAATCAATTCTGAAGATCATCGTGGAAATTCCCCTTAATCAATATTGAAAATCACAATAAAAATCGTATTAATACTGAAAGTTGTAATAGGAACCATATTAATGCTGTAAATAATAGTAGAAAAAGTTAAGTAATAGTTTAATACCTTGTTAGAAACCTTAGCAACTAGTAAAAAACTTAAACTAATTAAAATAAGTTACAGTAGGGTACGAACAGT